CTTTTTTTTTTTTTTTTTTTTTTTTGTGAAAAAGAATTGAGCTTGGAGCCAAGACCCATCTCCTTATTATTTTGATACTGTGCAAGTCATCTTACCTCTCTAGATCTCAGCTGCCTCATCTGTGAAAAGGAGATAAAAATTCTTAACTTATCTGAAGGTAAGTGATCAGTTAAGAAAGCAAAAAAAAAATAAAAACACTTAATGATGGCTTAAACACACAATATTTATTTTCTCATGTGAAATAATTCTTGAAGCATACAGTCTAGGTTAGGTATGGTAGCTTCATAAAGTCATCAAGGACCTAAGCATTTTCTGATTCTTTGATCTGCTACCCATATGGTGTGGACCTGGTCCTTGTAGTCCAAGATAGCTGCCAGAGCTCTTACCCTCACAGCCAAGTTCCAGGCAGCAAGGCAAAGACAAAGAAGGATGTAGTCTCTTCTTTTAGAGAGATGTCCTGACCCCAAACCCAGGCTACTGGGGAAGCAGGAAAAGGTAGCTGGATTGCATGGCTGCCCTGAATAAAACTGGGCTTTTGTTATTGAGGAGGAGGGGAAGATGTGGATATTGGCAGGCAAATAGAATTATCTTCCACAGTATGGATCTTTTTCTCTTTCATGTCTGAAAACTGTAAGCTGTGATAACCACTCATAAAAGCTTCAGTACTTTTCCATGGTAGATCTTCATGTCTGACCATATCTACAGAAGAAAATAACTTTCATCTAATACATTTTTTTTTTTTTTTTACTTCTGTCCCATGATTTGTTATAGAAACCTTTCTGTCTTGATTGGGTATTTATTCTGGTGTGTTTGTTTTGTTTTGTTTGTTTTTATTACCCATAAATGCTAATAGATGTTTTTGTGCAATTTATGGATGTGTTAAAAAAGAGCTAACTTTTTTTTGAGCCACTTGCTTTATGCAAGGCACTAAAAAGACAGAGATAAGTTATCCCAAGGATATCACATAATCATCAGGAAGTAAGTTGTGGTTTTTTTTTTGATTATCAATAATCGTGCCTCGGATAAACCTCATTGGCTATGGTACTGCTACTGCATAAAGCTTAGGAAGTAAATTTTTAAAAAAATCTTTATCCTAGGATATGTTTAGAGAGAAGAAGGGAGGGAGAGAGGGAGAGAGGAGAGAGAGATATGAGAGAGAAACATTGATTGGTTGCCTCCTCTACATGCCCCCACCAGGGATTGAACCTGCAACCTGGGTATGTGCCTGGGAGTCAAATCTACCATCTTTTGGTGTGCAGGACGCTACTCCAACCAACTGAGCCACTGGCCAGGGCTAGGAAGTAAATTTCTGATGAAAAGTATAATCCATCTCAAAGTCCATTTAAGCCCAGTATGATCACATGAGGGACACTTCGGCCTTCCTTGTTAGTTAGAAGTTGTGGCTTTCTTTTTTTAACCACTTAACTGTTACTTATCTTGAAATTTCTTCTTACTTAACTACTAGTTCTTATTTAACTTACTTAGGTATACCAGTATTTTATTTTATTCCAGACTTTTATTTGCAAATATTATATGAATATACCCTTGTCACGTGAAATGGTTCAGTTGTCATTATATCTGTGGAGAAAGTAACTTAAAAATGAAGTTTCGAGAAAAGGAAACTGAAATTCCGGGAATGTAAATTGGAGAGGGGAGGAATCTAAAGATTCAGTCAGTCTTTTGGGGATATTAGAAGGAAGAGAAGAAGCAAACTAAGGTTTTATTCTACAAGTTATATATGTTTTTTTGCAAGGTTTTGATATTTTCCTTGTATCACTTAGTGACAAAGTATAGTAATTCTTTTGCTACTAGTGCTTTTTTTTATTGTTGACAGTATTACAGATGTCCCCCCATTCCTCCCCCTTTTGTCTGCCTCCACCCAGCCCCCCCCAGGCCTTCCCCACACTATTGTCTGTGTCCATGGGCTATGCATATATATTCTTTGGTTAACTATTCCAATTCCCCCTCCTCCCCGAGATCTGTCAGTCTGTTCCATGCCTCCATGCCTCTGGACCTATTTTGTTCGTCAGTTTATCTTGTTCATTAGATTCCACATATAAGGGAGACCGTGTGATATTTGTCTTTCTCTAACTGGCTTATTAGGTAGCTTTGATTTCATTTTTTTCCAATCTAGAACCATTGACCTCAAGTAAACAAAATAATCAGGAGCCTTATGAGTTTTTAAGAGACATTTAGCATTGTCAGTCACCTGACTGAAAATGTCTAATTGCTGAATACCATTTTAACACCTTTAAAGATTTTTTAATAAACAGAAAAAGGATCATGCTATGCATTGTTCTGTAAGCACCTGTTTTCAAGTTGCAATTGCTTATTTCTTAGGCTGCCTTCCACACTACATTGAAAGTCCTGTGAGGGTGGGGGTTATGTCTATCTCACTTAACTTTGTATCCTGCATAATATCTGGTACATAGTTGACACTTAATAACTATTTGTTAAATTACTAAATACATACAACAGATTAAAGAAAACATACTTTAATTTAGCCTTAAATTTAAAAGGAAGAAGAGTAAAATAAGAGGGTTTAGGGAGGGATAAAAAGATAGATGAGGGGGGATCAGACTATTACAAGGGAAGTGAAAGGTTAGGGTTGGTGGTGCACAGGCGGGCTAAATAGCCATCTCAGATGGTGAATAAAGAAAAATTAAATTTTATTTAATTAAAAGGAAGGGCTACACAGCACTGAGCCAAAGGATATGGGGTCCATGATGGCAGCAAAAATATACTTAGGACGGTGAAACAAGGAAGGTTCATAGAAGAACTAACAGGAGAGCCTAGGCTGGGCTGCTTTGGCTCACTGAGAAGTCAGAGAGGGAAGGGGACCATGGAGACAGGTTCGGGGGTTAGACCAGGACCAGCTGCCACTGCCCATTGCTCCCCTGGTTGCAAGTCTAGTGGGGCCCCCTTGGAGGGAAGAAGGGGGAAGCTTGCACTGGGTCCTTTGTCCTGAGCATATTTATCTCTCTCCTGCAGGTGGAAGCCTTAGGGAAGGTCTCAGGGGAGTGTCTCAATAGAATATTCATCAGCTTTCCAGGGGTGCTAGTTTAAGGTCATGGTCCCCACTGATTGGTCAGTGCCAGGGCAGAGGGCCATTAGTCAATGTAGCTGGTCCTGAGGCAGCCATGGTGTCGCTTGTCTGGTTTTGCTGCTTTTCTGGGCCTGCAGCTGAAATACAGCTAGTGCCTGGAGGTTATCGTTAGGGGGGAAACACTCATGGGGTGTAAACCGCATCACCAGCGATATGCTAGGGGAGGATAGGTTGCCTGGGGACAAGGTTCTTATTTTCCCAGTTTTGCCCCTTGCTGGGCATCTGGGACTTTTCTGCCCTGGTAAGTTCTGTACCTGGCCGATTCTCCTTGCTCTGTTATGTCTAACAGAGAGAGACAAGTTAGTTTCAGTCTTCTGTACTCTTTTTTCTTCTCACCCATGACGGTTCTTTTTAACCACTTCCAAGAGATCTCTCTCTGTAGTCAAAACAAAGCTATCTGAAGCACACCCCCACTCATCCACCTACCCACTAAGTAAACTTAATCTGAGTAACTACTGGTATGAATCAATAGTTAAGAAACCTGCTTCTGTGTATGAATGGGAGTTTTGATTTGGTGGAGAGGGGGGGAAGAGAGAGAAACTTTCTTTTGGGACTTGGAAATTTAGGGAAGTTATTTTGTATTTATTGAATGCTAGGACAGGCATCAGAACTCTGCTTACTTTGTAATTTCCCCCCAGGCTCCGATTCCCTTGGGATCAGTGTTTTCCTTGCAGTCTTGAGATCACTGTCTGATTTAGAATTTCAGATCATTCAGGTTTGGATCAGTCTACTGTTTCAGCTAAGTTCAGCCTTGTGTCTCTTCTTTAGGTCTCTGTTCTTCCCAGTCAGGGCACAGACCCAGGTTTCCAGCTTCATCTCCAGTAGGGGGCGTGCAGGAGGCAGCCGATCTATGACTCTCTCTTCATTGATGTTTTTCTCTCTCCCTCCCTCTCCCTTTCTCTCTCTGAAATCAATAAAGACATATTAAAACAACAACAACGAAACAAGAAAAAAAAAGGCAAGAAAGGAGAGAAAGTAAATATTAAAGAGGCAGTATAAATAGAAAGCCCAAAATACACCATATAGAAAAAATACTGCCAATTAAACTATGATTTTGACTTCCAGTTTCATTTTTTGTTTACTGAAAGTGCTTTTTAAGATTCATTTGGACATACAGATTTTTCTCACATCACTTTTGTGCATACATAAAGGAATTACAAGTTAAATAGATTCATTAAGGTATTTGTAAGACTTTATCACCTTCACAGTCTCAGTCTTTGGAAACACTTTCTTGATTCAGACCAGTCACTGTCTGTCTTTCCACACAGAATTGTGCTCTCTACTCTGGAGAGTGATGGTAATTTTCTTCTGGAAGTTTCTTCAAGCCCCTTTGCCTGGAATTTTCTTTCAAGCCTCCGATACTCATTTTGCAAACTCTGATGCCAGTGCTTTTCAAAAGATGACAACAGGCAGTTTTCAGCATCCCCCTTTCCTTAACTTCTGCTTCAGTGGTTTATTGGCCGAGACGCTGAGGGGCTGCATTCTAGAGGAATAACAGTGAGTTGTGTTACTTTTCAGGCCACCTATTTAAATTTTTAGACACATCTCAGCAGAAGGCATCTAGAACTAATCTAATACACTTGGCGAGTTAGGAAGGGCTCTTGGACATTCAAACCAGATTTAGTCTGCCTTCCTTAGCTCAACCATCATCCATCCCGTCACCCCTTTTTACTTTTTATGCACTTTTGGGAAATTATTTTGTAGTTTAAAATTTAATATGGCAGCAACTTTTAGCCATAGGCATTTATGACAGTTTTACAGTGATACACTATTTCCTAGCCCATTCTCAGGATATCAGTCACCGGCACCTTTAACATTAGTGTATCATTTTGAGGTGTGTAAAAGGACACCAGGAGTTTGCCAGCATTTCCTATTGACTGAGCTTTGTTGTTTCCTCAGATTATATGGAAGTTATGCAGCTTCTGTCCAGCGTTAGTAGGAAGCTTCTGATAAATTGCTATTTGCCTTAATGACACATGAATTCATCAAATTAGCCTCATATTCTATATACACTTTTTAAAATTTTTATTAATTGTCAGTTTCTACTGCTTTCATTTGCAGTGTTTGACTGCTCATAGATATCTTGGATCTCAGTAACAAAATGTGATGCCGTTTTTCTACTTTGTCTGTCCTCTTGTTTAAAGTCAGGTAAAGCATTTAGTTGTTTCTTTACAAGAAACTATAAAGTTGCTGTTATTCCCTTAACATCAAACATTTGCTTCATGAATATCAGCTGCTATATTTCTATGTTTACAAAATAACTTTGCATTTCAATGCCAAATCATAATTTAATCCTTTGAAGACTTTTAAAAATGGTACTTAAACTCAATTTGTGAAGTACCAACAATGCAAAAACTCAATTTGAAGTTATCATAATAAGAATAGCTATGATAAAGTTTGTACATGTGTAGGCAGTAAAGATTATGTTGCTATTACCACTTTGTCAAACTCACTTTTAATACTTCATCAACTAAAATCACTCTGATTTCTGAGATGTTAAACTGAGGAATTGCCATCATGGAATTGATTAAGTACATTATCAACAATTTCATTAAATATAAAAGAAACTACTCCAGTTAGAAGATAGAGATTGTGGGGCTGAATAAAAAAGAAGTGTGTGTGTGTGTGTGTGTGTGTGTGTTTATATCTATATACTAATCAAAAGAAACTGGTTTAGCTATATTACTATCAAATAAAATATACCTTAATCCAAGTTGTAGCATAAAGGTCACTCAAATGTGATAAAAAATTAAATCCACTAGAAAGCTAGAAAATCTTAAATTTGTGTACACTTAATAACATGGCCTCAAAATATTTAAATAAAAATTGACAAAATTTGAAGGAAAAACAGATAAATAAAAAAATCAGAGTGTAAGATTTTAACTTACCTTTCAGTAATGACAGTAGAAGCAGACAAATATTAAGAATATGAATATTGGATAATTATGTAAAGTTATAGAGCATGGCCAGTTCTATACTTCTATAGGTTAATGATGGTTTATAAATTGTATTTGCTCTTTTTTAATGTTTACATTTTATTTTATAAGGTCAGAATTTTTGCTCTATTTTTCATTACTTTTTTCCCACTGAACGAATAAATTATTTTTTATTATTTACCCAAAAGTACCTATCGGTCTCATTTTGAATTTCCACTTGTGCAATAAGAATTAGAATTTTCCTATTGTCTTATAGCTAGAGATAACTATTTTTCTCACAATGCATCTGAAACATTATTAATAAGACAACGGAAAAGAACTGTCAGGGTTCATTTGAAATGCAAAAAACAAACAAACAGCAACTAAATAACAGACATTAAGTGTTGCACAGTATGGCTCAGTTGGTTGAAGTGTCCTCCCGTGCCCTGAAGGACCCCTTGTTCTTTTTCCTGTCAGGGCACATACCCAGGTTTCAGGTTCATCCCCAGTTGGGGCACATACATGAGGCAACCCATGGGTTTCTCCCTCTCTTTCTCTCTCTCTCTCTCTTCCTCTCTCTAAAGTCAATAAAACATATTCTTGAGTTGCACATGTGTCAATAAAACAAGAATGCTTTTCCTAAAATTTATTATATTAAAATTCATTATATTATTAATGTGGCTTTGGGGATGCATGGATGTATAGTTTGAAAACATCTTTTCAGGACCTTACTATAATTATACCTTTATTTCAGATGAGGTGGAGGACCATCCTACTGCAATATTGTTTTCTTTTGGTTACATGTCTACTTACTGCTCTTGACGCTGTGCCTATAGACATAGACAAGACAAAAGTAAAAAATCCTCACCCTGTGGACAGTGCAAAGATAGAACCACCAGTAAGTCAAATGAGAATTATAACCTTGTGGGAAGAATTTTAACTAAGATATTGCTAATACTTATTAGTTACAAAATTGGACATTTAGAAACTATTTTTGAAATAGAAGTGAAAAGAGTATAGGACAAGCATATATTGTTTAATGTTAGACAATTTTTTTTAAAATGTAGTTAGTATATTAAGAAGGGTATGGAAGAATTAATCACAATACATTTCTGATGTAGAGCTAACCAGTCCCCCCAAAAACATTGCATTATATTCAAAGGAGAGGCAGATAGCAATATGGAGAAACAGGTAACAATGGGGTAAAACCAATTAATATTTTTAAAGTCTTCATTGTCTAAGCCATACAGAAAACCTACCTTTGTGTAAGAGTAAAACATGGTTTTGGTGCAATCCCTGAAACATGATTTCTGCAACTCCTCGTTTGAGCTTTTTAATGTTGACTGTACAAACTATCAAAGTAGATATGTTCAGAGCCATTTTACTAGACATTTACTTTTGCTAGACATTTTCATTTTTTAGAATTGAGATCTTTAGATGTAGGGAAGGAAAAACTTTCAGAAGCTTTACTGTTTGTTTCTTAATTTGAAGGATACTGGACTTTATTATGATGAGTACCTCAAGCAAGTGATTGATGTACTGGAAACAGACAGTCATTTCAGAGAAAAGCTCCAGAAAGCAGACATAGAGGAAATAAAGGTAAGTGTAATTAAATAATTATTTAAAAAACCTTTGAGCATCCAGACACTGATCTAAGTGCTGGGGATACAAAGATGAGACTCACTCCCAGCCCTTACAAAACCCTCAAGGGAGACTAACATCCAGAAGAAGATTACTAAAATGAATATATGATGAGTATATAATATGTTTTGCATATACAGAGGGTGGACTCATAATTCAGTAAGAAGTAGTGGGGAAGGTGGGAAGTCATTCTTTTTGGTAGAGATTATGCCAGTGCTTAATGATGTGACCGAGGAAAGAAAAGAGACTGGGAGGCATCCTAGGCCAAGGTGCAAGGGTACTGAAAGAAGAGATATACAGGAAACTAGAATAGTAACTGTTGCTGGAACCTGGACTGGGAAGTAGAGGCCATGATTGGCTAAAAGACAAGGTTGGGTTAGATCATGGTTTAGATGATGGAGGGGGGGCCTTGTACATCATGTTAAGGGACTATGATCATGACGTGAGGACATAAGGAAGCTATTCAAATATTTAGAATAGGTTAAGTTCTGATGTTTTAATCAGGCCCAGATTAACAGAAGAGGTAACAGGCCATATCATATGTGAATAGGGGAGATTTAACTATTTGCCTCTGTCTTAAGAGCCCTATTAGACATAATCCTAGCCCTAGACATTTTAGTAATCAAACTAAAGAAAGGGAGTTGTAAAAGATCTGACCAGAGAGATTCTTTTAAAGCTCATCATTGAAGGGCAATGGGTCGGTTTAGTTGGGTTTACCCAGTCAGCAGTAAAAAAAATTTCCAGTGATTTAAATCTTTCAGTTACACCTCTCAAGATAGTGTTGTTTGCTTATGGTATTTTTGTTTATTTTTTAAAACTTTCCTAAAAAAATATCTCACCCATTTCTAGAATCAGAATTAGAGGCTTTTGTTAGAAGGAACCTTTCTGAGTCAAGCATCCTTATTTCAGTCTCTGTCCCTGGTGTCGGCCCCTTTGAAAGACTGACCTGTATGAGGTTGTGGCATTTGTCAGAGCCTGTGTGTGACTATTAGTTCATAGCTCTCCTCTGGGAGGCTCTGAACTGTTCTGAGCCAGTAATTCCCCTGAGTTGTCTTGAGAATAATTTTGTATTTCCTTTGAAGAATTAATCTGCGGAACTAATTTCCTGGGGTGAATGATATTTAATGTAGAACTTCCAATATCTCTTATCTACTTAAATTAGTATTAAGAGCATTAGTATTAGTATTAAGTAACAGAAAATGTGGAAAATGGGAGGTACTATACAGGGTGAGGCAAAAGTAGGTGTACAGTTGTTCATATGGAAAATAATAAAATAATTAATAATAATACAAGAATAAACTGTATTTTGCATACTCACAACTGTACACCTACTTTTGCCCCAACCTGAATAGAGATAATCAGGAGGAAAAAGACAACAGCTTCCTGGGTTGGTGTAGGGAATACCTTTCTAAGTGTCTTCCTTTCACAGTCGATTCTTATTCCCTATTGGAGGTGTGGAGAGACAAAATAAAGTAAATTAAACAGTTATTCAATGAAAAAGAAATAAGAGTAAAAATAGACAATAAAACCCAAGCCAACGGAATTATTCTAAGTAGCTTAGCAAAGACTCTTCACTCAGGAAGAATTGGGGGAAAAAGTTTAGAATTTGTCCTTTCCTTTTCAGCCAAGTGGGTTGAAAGAAGAACCGTGCTATATCTCTTTACTTCCCAAACACTGCTAACTGGAAAGATTATGACTTTGCTTGCACCACTTCAGTTAGTGTGCTTTCATTAAGGGTATTAGTAACTTCTTTTTATTTTAATTTTATTTTTTGATTACAGTTTGCATTCAACATATTTTGTATTAGTTTCATGTGTACAGCACAGCAGGTAGATGTTCATATAGGTTATAAAGTGTTCTCTCCATAATTCAAATGCCCACCTGGCCCCATACATAGTTATTACAATATTGTTGACTATATTCCCTATGCTTTACCTTACATCCCCATTCCTATAGAGAGGATCACCTAAATATATAAAGCAAATTTTGATAAACATACAGGGAGAGATTAACAGTAATACAGTAATAGTAGGGGACCCTAACACCCCATTGACATCAATGGGTAGATCTCCCAGACAGAAAATTAACAAGGAAACGGTGGCCTTAAATGACACATTAAACCAAATGGGTTTAATTGATATTTTCAGAGCATTTCACCCCCAAACTGCAGAACATACATTCTTTTCAACTGTACACAGAACGTTTTCAAGGATAGACCACATGTTAGGCCATAAAACAAGCCTCAATAAATTTAACAAGATTGAAATCATTTCAAGCATCTCCTCCAAACACAATTGTATGAAACTAGAAATCAATTGCAAACACACACGTACACACACAAACACCTGGAGACTAAGTAACATGTTACTAAACAATAAATGTGTTCACAATGAGATCAAGGAAGAAATCAAAAGATACCTTGACACAAATGAAAATGAAAACACAACAACACAGAATCTATGGGATACAGCAAAAGCAGTCCTCCTAAGAGGGAAATTCATATCAGTAAAGGCCTACATCAAGAAACCAAAAAATCTCAAATAAACAATCTAACCTTACAACTAAAGGAACTAGAAAAAGAACAAACAAAGCCTAACATGAGTAGAAGGAAGGAAATAATTAAGATCTAGATGGAAACGAAGTAGAATCTAAAAGAGAAAATTAAAAATATCAATGAAACCAAGAGCTGTTCTTTGAAAAGATAAACAAGATTGATAAACCTTTAATCAGACTCATCAAGAAGGACCCAAATAAAGAAAGTAAGAAATGAAGGAAGAGAAGTAACAATACACCACAGAAATATAAAAGATTATAAGAAAATACTATGAACAATTACATGTCAAAAAATTGTACAATCGGGAAGAAATGGATAAATCCCTAGAAACATACAATTTTCCAAGACTGAATCAAGAAGAAACAGAAAATCTGAACAATCAATTACAACCAACAAAATCAAAGCAGTAAAAGCTCCCAACAAACAAAAGTCCTGCACCAACTGACTTCACAGGTGAATTATACTAAACATTCAAAGAAAAACTAACGCCTATCGTTCTCAAACTATGCCAAAAATTTCAAGAGGAGAGAAGACTCCCAAGCTCCTTTTAAGACACCAGAATCACCCTGATTCCAAAACCAGATAAAGACACTACGAAGAATGAAAATTATAGGCCAATATTACTGATGAACATAGATGCTCAACAAAATATTAGCAAAGCTAATTCAGTAATACATTAAAAGATCATACACCATGATCAAATGGAATGTTGTTACACTTGATGTTGTCCCAGAGGTTCCTTAAACTCTCCACATTTTAAAAAATTCTTTTTCACCTGGCCGGGTGTGGCTCAGTGGTTGAGCATCAACCTAGGATCCAGGTGATCAGGGTTCGATTCCCAGTCAGGGCACATGCCTGGGTTGCGGGCTTGATCAATGACTTTCTCATCATTGATGTTTCTGTCTCTCTCTCTCCCTCTCCTTTCCTCTCTCTGAAATCAATAAAGATATATTAAAAAAATAAAAAATTCTTTTTCATTTTTGCTGCTCTGATTGGGTATTTTCTCTACCTCTCTTCCAAATTGCTGATTCGATCCTCTGCTTCATTTAATCTGCTTTCAATTCCTTCTAGATATTTTATTCTTCATTTCTGACTGGCTCCTTTTTATGGTTTCTATGCATTTTTTTATGCTTACTATCTCTTTGTTTAAGTCCTCTCTGAGTTCATCTGTTCTTTCCCTGAATTTCTTGAGCGTTCTTATGCCTATTGTTTTGAATTCTGTATCTGGTAGATTGCTTGTCTCTGTTTTACTTAGTTCTTTTTCTAGGGATTTCTCATGTTCTTTCATTTGGGACATGTTTCTTTGTCTCCCCATGTTGGCAGCCTCTCTGTATTTGCTTCTGAGTATTAGGTAGATCTTTTATGTTTCTTAGTCTTGGTAGGATGTCCTTGTGTAGAAGGTGTCCTATGGGCTCAGTAGTGCAGTCTCCCTTATTACCTGAGCTAGGTGCTCCAGGAATGTCCTTCGTGTGGGTTACATGAGCCCTCCTGTTATGGTTGAGTCTTTTTTTTTTTTTTTAATTCTCACCCCAGGATATTTTTTCCATAGCTTTTCAGAGAGAGTGGAAGGTTGGGGAGAGAGAAAGAGATATCGACGTGAGAAAGACACATCTATTGATTGCCTCCCACACATGCCCCGACCGGGGCCAGGGACTGAGCCTGCAACCGAGGTATGTGCCCTTGGCCGGGATTGAACCTGGGACCCTTCAGTCATTGGCCAGGCATAGTTCAGTCTTGATTGCTGTTGACCCATTCGTGGGTGGGGTTGACCCTCAAGTTGGCTGACTATGAGGATTGACCCTGACCACAGTGTATGAACTGCTGTGTGGGGGCACCCCATGGAACAGAATTTACCCCAGCAGGGTCTGGTGCCTGCCACAATCTCACTTTGGGTGTGCTGCTTATGGAGCTAATTGGGTCGTGTTCTGATGTGGTCTGAAGGCTGCCATTGGGTGTGTTGGTTGTGGGGCCTCTTGTGAGGGACTCTGGTGCCGGTCAATGTCAGATGCTGCCTGTGACTCGCCCTGGGCTACTTGTTTGGAGCTACAAAATGGTCCACTGTTTGTGGCTGCCTCTGCTGGGCCTGGATGTGCATGGGAGGGGACAAGCTGCATAACAAGTCTGGCTTCTACTAGTACCAAGCCTGGGGGCAGGTCAGCAAAAGTCCTAAGGTACCCTGAGATCTGCCTCTACCTGCTGGCTGCCTGTTAAGCTCAGTCACTGACCACATGAAAGTTGTGTGAGATAGGTTCTCAGTGAGTCACCAGGTAAGGGCAAGTGGTGTTCACTAGGCTGATACAGATTCAAACTCGGTGCCAGTGCTGGGTGTGAGGCCATTCAGCAAAAGTCTCAGGGTACACCAAGGCCACCTGCCACCTGCCTGGGGCCTTTGTACCTTTGTGGTGGAGTTGGGTCTCAGGGCTTTGTCCAGGTAAATCCAGCGGAGATTGTCAGGCTAAAAGAGACCAAGATTTGGCTGTGTGGAGGGATGGCTCTGCCCAGGAACACTGGTGCCTGTCTGGTGCACGAGAGAAAAATGGCCCTTGCCCTAGAACCATGAAACTCAGTCTCTCCTTTTGTGTCTCTGCCACTCCCTGAGTCTCTCTGGACCTCCTCAAGAGCCTTTCCAGGAAGTCTGCACCATGGGCCTAGGTTGGAGGCCAATACAGGCTGGCGGAGCAGGGCCTACAGGAGTCGGCAGGGAAGGGCCAGTGCCACTCCCCAGGCTGATGTCCTGAGGAGGTGGAGGCAGGCCCAATCCCAGAACAGTGGCACCACTCAGGCACACGGGGGAAAAATGGCCTTTGCTTGACAGCCACACAACTCAGTCTCTCTCTGTGTGACTCTGGCACTCCTTGAGTTTGCCTGAACTTCAAGAGCTCCTCAATAAATTCTGCACCCTGGGCCCAGGCTGGAGGGCAGGACAGACCTCTCTACCAAGGGCCATCCTGGCAGGGCAGGACCTCCAGGAGTTGGCAAGTAGGGTCTATTTCCTCTCCCAGGCTGATGCCTAATGGAGGGGAATGCTTGGCCCAGGAACGATGGCATCTGTGGGTGGTGTGGGAGAGGGACCTAGCACAGGGACATTTGCTGCTTTCTCTCCAACCCTCTCCTTAGAGCCACGCCGTTCAATCTCTTTCTGTATGATTCCGGTCCCCTCCAAACTGCTGACCCTTCACTAGAGCCCAGAGTGAATGCTGTGAATGAGATTTTGTGTAATGGCTCTCTAAAAGAGCAGTCTCCCTTCTCACCAGGTTGGGTGGAAGCCCCACTGATCTTCACAGCCAGATATTGTGTGGACTCATATTCTGGGCTCTGGTGCTGCGCCTTACGGAGCCTAGCGTGGGGCTAAGGCCCCTCGCTCCTCCAGGGGGACCTCTTCAGCCAAGATAGTGCTCTGGATTCTTAACCTCCCCACCCTTATGTGGGTGTAGGACCAGCCCTTTTCTCTTCTCTGCTCTTCCTACAAGTCTCTATGTGGGTTCCTCTGTGAACCCTTAGGTCTAAGACTTCTGTTCAGTCAGTCTTTAGATGGTTATTTAGGCTGATCCAACTGTAGTTGCAACTCTGATATGGTCCGGGGAGGAGGTGATTGTAACTTCCACCTACTTTATTGCTATCTTGCTCTGAACTCAGTGACTTCTTTCTTTTTTCCTTTCTTTTTCTTTTTCTCTTTTTAGGTTTCATCTGAATACATATTTATTAGATAAATATTTGAGGTTGTCACATTATCTAACTATGTACAGCTTTGCATCAGTGATTTCTTAACTGTTAAATCCGGTGAACACTTATTATTCCTCTTTTTACTCAACTCTTTTACTTTACCTCAATGGTTCTCAGATTTTAGGATGGGTTAAAACACAGTTTTAGGGCCTTCCTGATTCAGTAAGTCTAGGGCCTGTATTTTAAAGTTCCCAGGTGACGCAGATGCTTCCACTTGGGGACCACACTTTGAGAACTATTGTTTTATCTAGCAATAATGACCATTCTCTCCTTGAAATCTACTGCTCTTTTTGTTCTATAAGAGCATATTTTCCTAGCTCTCCCTCTTCCTCTCTGAACATTCTTTCTTGGTCTCCCCTGTGGGGTTCCTTTTCCGCACCTTCTTCAGCAGGCCCCATTGACTCAGTCCTAAATGGTTTGTCTGCCTGATTGCTAGTTAGACTTGCAGTTTGTGATTGCAAATGCATTTATGAACAAGAGAAAGTAAATCACTAGGTATTTTGTTTCTGAAATCTTGAAATATGTATCTGATAATTTACCTATGAAAAAAGTAGTCAAAGGAGATACCGTAAGAAATATGAATTTTGGCCCGGCCGGGCTTGGCTCAGCAGTTGAGCATCAACCTAGGATCCAGGAGATCGGGGTTTGATTCCCAGTCAGGGCACATGCCCGGGTTGCGGGCTGCAGCTGATCAATGACTCTCTCATCATTGATGTTTCTATCTCTCTCTCTCCCCCTCCTTTCCTCCCTCTGAAATCAATAAAGATATATTAAAAAAAAAAAAGAAAGATAGCTTTAAAAAAAAAAAAAAGAAAGAAATATGAATTTTGAAGGTATTTATATAAAGGGATGACTATAACTGAAGTAGGCCAAGTTACTTAAAAAACTTTATTGAAATATAATTCATATACCATAACCTTTTCCCCTTTAAAGCATATAATTCAGTGGCTTTTAGTATATCCAACGAGTCATGTAACCATTACCACTAATTTTAGGACGACTTCATTTGCCCCCAAAAGAAACTCTGTACCCATTAAGCTATCACTCCCCATTTCTTTCTCTCCTTAGCTCCTGGCAGTCATTAATCTATTTTCTATCTTTATGGATTTGCCTATTCTGGACATTTCATATGAATGCAACCATATATACGATATATGGCTTTTGTGTCTGTCTTCTTTGACTTAGCATATTAAATGAAAACACACGTTTTCAAGGTTTATCGTGCTGTGGCATGTATTAGTACATTGATTCCTTTTTATGGCCAAGTAATATTCCATTGTATGGCTATTCCATATAGTGTTTATCAGTTCACCAGTTAATGGACATTTTGAGTGTTTCTGCAGTTTTGGCTAGAATGAATAATGCTGCTATGAACATCCACGTACAAGTTCCTATGTGAACATATGTTTCAGTTCTCTCAGTATATACTGAGAAATGGAATTGCTGCATCGTATGGTAACTCTGTTTAACTTTTTTTTTATAAGAGAAAGTTTATTTAATATTTATTTATTTATTTCTAGGAGCAGCTGTGTTTAACTTTCTGAGGAATTGCGAATTCCCCCCCCCCCCAAAATGG